TAACACTTTCTATCTAAAAAATTATGATAGTTTTGTTTTTTGGCCAGTCTCATTTTAGTACTAGCTTTGTGACTTCTGATACTAGTTTTTTCAGGAATAAATCAAAACTAGAAATTATCAGCCCTGCTCTCCCATTTCACTGGGGAAGCTGAGAACCAGAAAAGTTAAGTGATGGGCCCAGGCCTCCCACTGAACTGTAGTAGAGCCAATCCTAGGATCCAAGTGCCTCCCTCCAGCATGCCTGCCCCATTTGAAGGGGCAGTGAAGTACCATTTAGTGTGCTTTTTGTGGTCATTTACTTTTGAGCACATTATCTAAGTTGTGCTAGTTAAAACTTAACTGCTCTTTAGAATGATTTGTGACATTTCTCCTTCATTCTTTTAACAATATTAACTTCGTTAGCTAGTTTGGAATTTTATTACTCACCATTTTGGGTAGAAAGATGCTCTCTTTGAGAATCTGGATTCCTCCTCCAAGTAACTAACCTCTTCGTGTCTCAAGAGGAGGTAACAAATCAAATATTAAGAATTGAAATTGATTTAGGCCAACATATGATTTCATTTAAAGCATCAAATAGGTCAGTTAATGTTTTCATCCAAAAACTATTTTGTAATTGTGCCCAAGGTTGAGACTGCAGAATACTTGATATACTTATTTGCAGACAGTAGAAACTCGTGGAATAGAACACTTTGCAAATACTAGAATATTAGTGGTTTCTCATTACAGTGCTGCAGATATATTTATTAATATTTGATTGATTCATTCATTTATTAAATGAACATTTATTGAGTACCGGCTACTTTTCTGGATGCTAGAACAAGACAAAGTCCTGCCCTCATGAAGCTTACATCTAGTGGGGTTGTCAAACAATCAACAAGCAAGCAAATAAGATAATTAGGTTGTGATAAATAGTGGGATAGAAATAAGCAAGATGATATATGATAAACAATACATGAGAATGGCCAACTTTATGTGGGGTTGTTAAGAAAGACCTCTCTTAAAAGGGGACTTTTAAGTGGATTCCTGAAGTTAAGAATGAACCAGGCATGCAGAGAGCTAGGGAAAGGGCATTGCAGCAAGAGGAAACAGCAAAGGCAAAAACCTCAAGATGGAAAGGGTCGCTGTTTCCTTCCTGTCTGTTAACTGAGATTATAAAAACTTCCCACCTACCACTCATAGGAATAATGTGGAGATATCAATAAATTTAATACAAAATGACCAAATTTGGGTTGGATATGTATAATAGACAATGAAGGAGAAATGGAGATATTTTTCTCTACTTTTAAAGGAAAGAAAATTATTTGAGGATACAAGAGAATAACACGAGAAAACATTGAGAGATCTGGATCTCGCCTTCTTAACCAAATGCTGCATTTTGTGATGCCAGTTGTCAGTGTAGAAGTTCACAGAAGATAAAGATCTTGGCCTGGGGTTGGGACTTGACCTGGACCTTGGAGAATGAGTGAATTTGGATTGGCCAACAGGAGGCAGAACAGCATGTTTCAGGATGGGAGAACTATGTAAATAAGTATACTAAGATGGCATGATACATGCACACAAAAGATAATTATGCAAGAAGATGGAAGTGTTAACTGACCTTGTTGTGGTAATCATTTCACAATATCTACATGTATCAAATCATCATGTGTTACACCTTAAACTTACACAATGTTGTATGTCAATTATATCTCAATAGATCTGAGAGGAAAAACATTTTTTAACAAAAATACTACGGTAGACTGAACTTGAATGAGTACTTGAAACCCTGAAGACTCAAGCTTCAGCCAGGATGGTCTTTGAAAAAATAGAAGATAATAGATGGTCTGATTCATAGAGGTCATTGAAAAGTCAGTAGATCATTTTTGACTTGACATTTCATACAACAGAGAGAATTATTATGGTTTCTTGAATGAGAAAGTTGTATGGTAAAAAGAGAAATCAGATAACATAGATACAGATTAATGGAGACAGGAGAGGAAATCCTGGAGAATGGGAAACCAGGTAAGAGGACCTTCTTTGCTCTCATGCCCTTCATAGTACCTGGTGATGAAAATATGAATGGACTGTGCTCGTATCACAGAAAGGGAATGGGCTGTATATACGATGTTGCCAAGAACTTTAATGTTGATGCTTAATAACTGAAGAGAGAAATCAGAAGTCCAAATGCGTGCTCTCTTGAGCCCCAGGGACTGGCTGACCAGTAGTGTCAGTGATGGAACTAGGGACATTTGCCTTGGACATTAAATGATTGATTTCACCTTGGATATCTTAAGTTCCAAAAGACAACAGGGTGCCCATATTGTGACGTGAGCACAGAAGTAGAAGTGCAGAGCTAGAGTCAAGATGGAAAGTTGAATTTGGGAATGCAGTGATGAGAACTAAAGGCTTAGCTCTTGAGAATGAGTGCTTTTGATGAAGAGTGTGTGTTTGAGGGTGGGGGAGGCATACATGTGCATGTGCGTGAGCGCACGCGCACACACACACACACACACACACACACACACACACACACATGCGCGCGTACTGGGTTGGCCAAAAAGGTCATTCGGATTTTTCCATAACATCTTATGGAAAAATCCGAATGACCTTTTTGGCCAACCCAGTATATCTGTCTATAAAAATATATATTCATGCACACAGAGAACCCAAGTAGAACATACCAAAACAGCAGCTGGATTAAAGAAAAGAAAGAATTTCAGGCAGTAAATAGGGAAAGTTCTTGGGGAATTACCCTTATCATTTTACCATAAAAACTACCACTAACCTTTTAGAGTGATGACTATGTGTCCTAAGGTCTTTAAATATAATAGTTCATTCAGTTTCTTGCCACAACCTGTAATATAGCAAATGCTATTGTTATCTCCAATTTATAGGAAGTTTAGGCACAGGTAGATTAAGCCGTTTGCCCAAGATTATACCCAATTTGAAGAAGTAGAGCTGAGATTCCAACATAGGCATATTGTGTTTTCAAAGCCTCAGCCCTTAACTCCCATGCCATATGGCTATAATATTTATGATGGTGTTTTAATTACAAGTCTGACTTCTGTCCTATGTAGGTTTCTTGAAAAGGAGTTAATTAATTAACAGTTTTAAAAGTTGGGTGGCAACTAGAAAGTCAGCAGATGGCTGGGCAGTGATTGGATAATCCCTTACGGCAGAAGAGACCTTGGAATTCTCTAGGGCATGACAGAGACAGGAAAGGAAGAATATACTTTTTGGCTTATTTTCTTTCTCCTCTTCTTCTATTCACCGTTTGCTGTTGAAACAGGAAATTGTCCACTTCAGAAAGAGTTATAATAATAATTTGCGGGGAAAAAATGGTATCTTTATTTTTTACTTCCTTATATACTACAAATGTCTGTGTCCTCATTTGTATTCCAGGAATGCTAGTTTACCTAATTTGACTGCCAGCCAAATTCTTACATTAAAACTCATTATTTCCTCAACTGTCATTACAAAGTAAGAGTTAGACTCCAAAAGAGTAGGGTTTCAGAAACAACGTCAATATCGGTCTTACTGAATTCTCCTCAGCCGGGAAGCCCAGTGCCTGGATTTCTCTGTGGGGAGGCTCGGGTCTTAAAGCAGGAGTTAAGGACTGAAACCCCTTCCTCTGGACACACAAGGCTTCTTTGACAGTGGCTTTAATGAATGCTTTCCCTTGCTGGGAGAGGACTTTGCTTTCATTCTCCATGCTTTTCAGGGTTTCCCCAACCTTTCTCATGTCTCCCTTGTTTGAGGAAGAGGCAGAGGAAATAGTAAGTTCCCAGCCCACCACGCTCAGTCGTACAGTATGGCAAGGAGGAGGGACAAGGCACCTGCTTGCTGCCACAGCTATAACGGGGAAAGCTGTAGCAGTCCTTCCTTCAATGAGTAAATTAACTTAGTGCTTTTCTTTGGACCTAAAACTGTGACGGGATGTCATCTAATTAATCTTCCTAAAGCACAGTTCTGCTCAAGAGAACTGGCTGCTCAAAAACTTTCAATATTTTTCCATTTTAACAGGGTAAAATTCTTAGCCTTACATTTACGAGCCTTCATGATTTGGGCCTATGCTATGTATACCTGACCTTATGTACCAGTATTCCCCCTTTTTATGGACAGGGAAGCTGACTTATTCCATTTTCTTCTGCAGGCCCCCGCTTGCCTGTGTCTGTGCTTACCTTCAGGGATGCCCCTCCACTCCCCCTGCCTCAGCCTGTCTCTAGCATCATTAACCCCCATTACACACTGCATACAATCCTCATCTAAATGCCATCTCCACCATACAGCCTTACTGAACTCATCTGAACTCCTAGGTGATTTTAAGTCATGCAGTCATTTTATCTGTGTTCCAGATATTTATATGCATATATTGCCTTCTTTACTAAATTATTGGCAGAAATTTGTATCAAATTGAACTTTGTATCTTCCATATCACCTACACTTAACATAAGAGGAAGTTAAAACCGCACAGGGCTGAGAGGATGTATAGATTACTTGTAATAATATGTCTTTTTACAACTTATCCTTTCTCTGTGCCCTAGTAAGTAAGTGAAGCCAGAACAGGACCAGAGCTCCTGATTTTCAATCCTAAGACTTACTCACCAGCAACAGTGGTTCTCCCCCCTGGCTTGCATGTTGGAATCACTTGACAACACCTGTGGTGCTTTAAAAAATTCTCACCTGGGAGCCCAAAACCATAGAAATTAGAATCGTAGGAGTGCCACCCAGACAGCAGTATTATTCAAATCTCCCTACATGATTCTTTGTGCAACCAAGATTGGTAATAAATACTGCACAGCACAATGGCCCCTGGATCATTCTTACTTTCCTAGGTAACTGTATTAATTTGAGAAACTTTTATTTTTTCATATCAAAAAAAATTTAAGTGATATTAAAATTTAAGTAATATTAAAAAAATTTTAAGTAATATTAAAAATTTAATGCTCAATGTGAGATAGTAGAATAGCATATTTTGTTTTTCTTTCAATAGTAGCTCACTTAATTGTTTAACGTTTCAGATATTTCGAAAGAAAGCAGTGGAACTTGGGGTAAAATTGCTACCTGCATTTCATACTCCCTCTGGAATACCTTGGGCATTGCTGAATATAAAAAGGTAAAACTCTTCATTTTCGACAACATGTTTTAAGTTGACATATTCAAGATTGTGGTCTAACAAATAGACACCAGATGGATAAATACTTGAATGATGTTGGTGACTAACACCATTGGGAGTCTTGGTGTCTGTCTTTGTGTTGGAAGTTATTAGTGTTTTTCAGTGTTCCGTGGCTTTAGATGGGTTCCCATCATGAGATCGAATGACCCCAAGAGAGTCATGCACACAAGACATGATTCAAGGTTTTCACTGTTTCATGGTGATGTTGCATACTGTCTCCATAAATTCCAAGACCATCCCGTTATCTTTAAAATTGTCATCAAAGCATTTCACTTTCAAAGAAGTCAATTCCTAAGATCACTTCCCTTCAGTTAAGCTGCTGGTCAGAGATATTGCAGAGATACAACATTTAGACTAATCAGGTCTCCCACACAACAAGTTGGTATAACTGAGACTGGAGCACCTGACGCTGCTCACCCACAGTTGTAAGGAGGGAAGGGGACTGCTCCATTGGCCCAGATCAACCCATCCTTCTCATCCCATTTGTGTGGAGAACCCTGGCATGCCAAGTCCATGGCAATGTGGCCCCAAGAAACGCCTGGGCCAAATAGACTTTCTGGTATTCTCCCAGGAAGTAGTTTGAATTTTTGTGATAGCTTTGAGCATTTTGTTAATATAACAATTTTATCTTAAGCTTCCTTCTTAACTCCTTCTTCTCCATAACTAATTAATTGCATATATGTCTCTTTGTGATGATGGTGAGGATGACAGTGATGACAGCTCTTTTGTCGTCATAAAATATGAAAGTTTATTCTAGGTACTTTACCCATATTACCACATTTAATCCTCACAACAACTCAGTAAGGTCAGTACTGCTGTTATCTCTGTTTTACTAATCAGGAACTTGAGTCACAGAGAGGCTAAGTCATTTGCCTAAAATCATACCATATGTAAACGGTAGAGCTAGAATATGTACTTAGATGTTTATACACACATTGATTCATAGGTGCAAGTTAAATGGCTTTCTCGTTTTAGAAGTGGCAAGAGGATGCACAGGGTGACTTGGCAAGATTAATGCATATTTCTTCCTAATTATTTATTTTAGTGACATTCCTTCCTAAAATTAATCATGAAAAATCATGAAATTAATTGGCTAATAAATCAGTTAAATTCATGCTTTGTTTTCATTTGTATGTTATATATCTATACCTTGAAATCACACTGTACCTGTCTATAATTTTGTGTGTGTGTGTCTGTGTGTGTCTGTGTGTGTGTGTGTGTGTTTGGGGCAGAGGCATGGGTGTTGAGGCAGTGAGCCAGGGAAAGTTCAAACCCCTGGACCATGTTAAACTGAGGTAGTTCTCTATTGCGTAATGTGATATCTCAGGATCCATTCTTCCCTTTGGACTCCTACGGCTTTCTCTGTCAGCTTGGAGACCAATGGCATGTGCTATGCTGTCTTAAGGTGAAAGTGGGCATATATGCTTGGCTTGGAGGCAGCATGGTGTTGGGAGATCCATGAGGGTTTTTTTTTTTGGCTTATGTAGATCACCTATATTGCCTTCCATATCTTCAGACTTTGTACTTATAGGTAGTCTTCTGACCTAGAAACTTCTCCGTTACTTGAGATAAGATCCAGTTACGAAAACACTGTGCACATTTAACACATATTTTTCCTACTTACCCTCTGAGAAGAATGATATGGGCATAATAGTACACTGAGTTAATTGGTTATCAAGAGACCTGGTTCTAGGTATTTTATAGCTATTCTAGGTTTGTCTTTAGAGCAATCATTTTAACTCGCCAGGCTTATTTGTAAACTGGAAGTTAGGCTACTTAACTAGTTTTTTCTGTACCTTTTCATGTTTATTTCACTTTGAAATTCTGATGAAACACGGCCCTCTCCTTATAAAATGCATATTCCTGAGTACACATACTTTTATTCAGTTTCCAAAAGCTAACAGTCCACCTAGGACCTAAGGGCCCCCCAGGTTTAAAATACTGGAGTGAATGATCACTCCAGCCTTCTACTCTAAGATGCTGTGGAGCTAGTTCTTATTGCTTCCTGGAAGGTAATGGAATTAGATAAAGGCCTCCAAAAACTAATAGAGGCGTGGGCCTACATCTTTGCAAAAGTTCAGTTAGTTATTGTAAGGTGCTGATATCATTTAATTAATTCTAGCCTCTCTTGAAATCATCATAAGAAATTAGATTGTTTTAAAGCATATTTAACATAGTGTTTATTTTTTACAGCCAAGAGGATTTTTTCCTTAGTTATACCTATCCTTTGTGTACAGTGGAGATATTTTTCAGTACATAAAGGAGTACTTCTAAAAACTATTCAGTATTGAATCTGCTGTTATCTTTTTTTTCTGTATCTCCTGAAAGTTCATTAACTAGGGCTTTAACTTTTTCTTAAGACCTTATTTTAGATTTACAGTATTTTACATTATTTTACAGTATTTTACATTAGAACTTTTAATTTCAAATATTACAGGAAAATTATTTTGGGTCAAAAATAATGTGCCATTTCATTTATGTATTCTCTGATGTTTTCATGTTAAACTAGAGGAAATTAGGTGACCATTTTACAACTGACAGGAACACTTTTAACTCCTCCTGGCAACCTGTATGAATTTTTTATTATATATTTTATCCACTCTCAATTCCATTTACTAAATAGCAGTGGCTTACCCAAATTTATGCAATAAACCTTGTCAAAATTAATAGTAATATCAACCCACTAAAATTCATCCTATCCGTTTGCCCAATCAAGTACTCTCATGGAATCCTTTCTTCTTCCAGCTGTGAAACTGATTTATCATCTTGAAGAATTTTCTCTAGGGGACAAAAGCAGTGTTTCATATTTAACTGCAATAATTAGATTTCAGGATGTGCTGTTGATGTCAACCTGTACATATATGCTGTTTTCTCTGAATCTCTGTATTTTCACAGTATGGGCCAGGGGACAAGGGACAGCTGGCGTGGAGCTTATTTTCTAATTTTCTGAAGCCTGTCAGCAGTAGAAGTTTCAAAGGAGATGGGGAAAAATATGTCTGGCAAAATTATATTTTAATTAACTTCTCAGAATAAGGGAGTATCGGGGTTTCCCTGGTGGCGCAGTGGTTGAGAGTCCGCCTGCCGATGCAGGGGACGCGGGTTCGTGCCCTGGTCTGGGAAGATCCCACATGCCGCGGAGCGGCTGGGCCCGTGAGCCATGGCCGCTGAGCCTGCGCGTCCAGAGCCTGTGCTCCGCAACGGGAGAGGCCCGCGTATCGCAACAAAAATAAATAAATTAAAAAATAAAATCAAAAAAAAAAAAAGAATAAGGGAGTATCTATAGGAGGATGCCCAAGTGTTCAAGGATGCTTTTTAGAATAGCTCCGTATTCACTGTTGATTGGCTTTGAAACTCTTTGCAATACTTATGATGGGGGATGTAAATACGCCGTCTGTGACATCATAATTCTGCTCTTGCGCCTCAATTTTGAAAATAGTTATGGAGGCTGCTCTTTGCCAACACCTATATGTTAACAAAAATGTGAACTTACTGGTATTATCAGTTCACACACCTCTAGTATTCAGGTTTTTGCCTAAAGATAATTGGTTTCTTTACTTTTTCTTTGTTAAAAAAAAAAAAAAAAACGTTTATTTTAGTCCCTGCTGTGATGAAGTTTCTATGCTAGGTCCAGGTAAGATTTTCTGCTTCTTTTCACTTCATTTAAAAAGATAACAGACATGGTCTTTCTCTCAGGGCATTCATATTTACAGCCTGTTTAGTAAAGCAGAATATATATTTTGTATGTTATACACTCACTCATGTAATTGACAAATGTAAGGTAGTCTGTGCCAAGGAAAGATAATGACTCACCAGGTTGATTTAAAGCGAGCAGTATTTTGAATTGGGGAGGCTTATGTATTTTGAGCCAAAACACCAATAAGCCAAATTAGATTTCAGTATTTGTGCAAACTGAGAATAGCAGAGAACCTAAATAATTTCCTCATATCCTGCATTAGAAAGTCTGTCCCAAAATCTGTTCAGAAAAAAATGTTATAACTATCTCTTCTGCTCCATCTATAATAAATTCTCAATTCAAGAGATGCTATATTAAGCTGTAAGTTAATTGAAATTATGAGTTGATAACAAGTGGTAATTTGAACAAACAGCTGGGTGTTATACACAGTACCTGATTAGAGCAACATGCTTGCTTCACCAATATGACAGTAGAATGAAGATGCGTAAGTTACGTAATACCTCTGCTAAAAGGAAAACATTGCCTAGATTTAACAGGTTAGATTTTGGTAGAACTCAGTTTCTCTAATGTGAAAATGTTAAAATTTGACGTCTGATCTTGTTACTACTATTAGCAAGAGACCCTATGCATTTTTTTTTCTCCAACCTAAAGAAGAAAAATCACTTCTGTGGTTTGTAAAATCAAACATTTCACCACTTCCATAATTCTAGGTATAATTTAAGCCTAAGTAGAATATTTATACTAATTTGGGGTTTTCTAAAGTATGTTCTTAATTTAAAATAATATGATTAATATTCCCATTACTCATTTACATCACAAGGCATATAGTCTGGGCATTCCTAGTAATTATTCTGTCTTTACTATGAGTTAGTTTTAGCTTATACTGCTTTACCACTTGTTTTTCTTCATGTATTTCTCTGAACTGACACCTACCTGGTGGTTATATTAGGTTAGTGGATCTGTCTACAGCACGTGATTTTATTGCGCCCATCAAGGAACGTGCTGGGAAGTGACTGATCTCTATTCCAGCTCTCATTAGTAAGCAAGGAGATGAATGAACCACAACTGCCTTACCTGTTTTTATTTCCTGCTTTGTAAAGCTTTATTTACCGACGACTCTAATTATCCAATGCAAATGCATACTATGTCATTAGTTACATTGCAGTGTGTATTATTATAATTAAATTGCAAATTGCTTTACTTTATCTGAAATGGGGTCTTAATTAAGAATAGTACACAGCTTAAT